CCCCAAAACCCCAAAACCCCAAAACCCCAAAACCCCAATGCTATTCGGTTTTGTTGATTGATAGAATTTTTCTAATTATCTGATATGTCTTCTCTGGCTTTTACTTTGCCTCTGTTTGAAGTACTTCTTCTTAGGCTTTATTCTTGGTATTTGCCCCTGAATACTTAATGAAATCACTGAGCGTCCGGCCGGCATTTTCTGAGTAGACCTGTAATTTCACGAAGAGATTTCAGAATCTGCCACTTGTGAGGGAAGAACTTGGCCCTTGAATAACATCTGAGGGACCACGTTGACCACTGGGATTGCAGAAGAGATTGTTTTTATAGTACATGTTGAACTTGAGGCGGGTCTTGAGGAGGACTGGTGAGCGGCTTGGGAAGGAGGCTCAGTGAGGATTTGGGGGGATGGAGAGGAGCTAGAAGGGGTTTTAGAGGGTTGAAAGGGGTTTTGGGGATGTCTATGGAGGTGAGAGGGAGGGGTTACGTTATAGAGCCGGAGCTTAGTGCTTCGATTTTGATTTCTTCCTTGTGGTGTAGTGATCTTAGACGATTCTAGAGCGTTATGAAAGATGGTACTTTTGATTTCCTTTTCACGTATTTTGAAATAGCATCGTGATTGGTTTGGTCACTTTTGGAGATATTTATACTCTCGTTCTCAATATTTTCTCATGAGCTAATTTTCTGTCCTGAGGAAGGAGCTTTAAGATTTTTCCTTTGAGTATAAGGATCAACCAGCATATTTTCTTTAAAAGGATTGAAGGACACCATTGAGCTTCTAGCTGAGCTCAATCTTGTATTCTTTAGGTTTTGCCCTTTAGAAATGCAGTTTTTCTTAAAGTTCTTTGGATGTAAATACTGTTTCACAGTTGATCGAGCGAATTTTCCAATATCTCTATTCCCTTCTTTGTTATAAAGACTAGTCCTGATTTTCTTCGGCAGATTTCCAGTATTTTCGAACTTTATGTTATCCTTAATGTTCGTCATCCTTGGAAGCTTTTTAAGGACTGATTCCTCGCTAAAAGTTTTACTGTAGTAGAATTGAGCTAAATTCAAATCACTTCCTGATCGAATAGACTCTCCAACATTATTGATACCGTAACTTTCAGTTTTGGACTCTTGTGAGGTTTTATATTGGAAATGTTTTGAATTTTCTGAGTGAGATTGTCAACTTGAAGTGCCATCTCTTTGCCGTACTTGGATAGTCCTAGTCCAATGTGATTGAAGATCACTTTGGCTATTTTGAGAGGTCTCATTTGAACTTTTAGCTAAAGAAAAATGTTCTCAAAATACCTTTAGACTGGCTTGTTTGTTCAGAACTGAGAACTTTTGGATGGCTTTCTTGCTGATCAGAACTACTACTACATTCTTGTGAAGTTCTTTCTTGTGGTTCCCTCTCTTCAAGTTCAGCCGAGGAGCTTAGACTACTTCTTTTAGATCCGGAGCTACTACTCTCAAAACTGGATCTTTCTTGCTCTTCTTTTATTACAGTAGATTCATATTTTAAGGGAGACTTTTGAATAGACTTAGGTTCTAGTGCTTGAGATAAGCTGGATCTTAGCTGACTCTCTTGAATTTCTTCAGAACTTACGAACATTCAAGGGTTGTTGTTTTGGCCAAAATATAAACTTTCCTCAGGACTACTCTGAACTGAAGAAGGGTACCTAGAGTTGCAGGGTAAGCTTACACTTGGTTTCCCAGTCTTTTACTAGTTCTTTTCCTAACTTTTTTCATCGAGATTCTATTTTTGTTTATTTGGGCTTTGAAAAAGGATTCTAGAAAGAGGATTAGAAGGCCATTTTGGGGCTTAGAAAAGAGTATTCTTACTTTCGAGAGCTATAATCTTTTGATTCTTCTCTATGATCACGGGTGGCTTGTTTCATGCACATAGGTGTAATCGTCTGTCTTGCATCATCAAGAGCCATTATTTTTAATCTTTCCTGGGAATTTTTGAGATTTCTTGTGTCATTGATAGCTACAAATTTAATAGAATTATTAAATCTTGCATGTGACTTCCAGTATTCATCAACTTCGGAGTCTCTTTCTTTGGAATTATTCAAAGATCTCGTGAAGTAATGTTTCACCATTTTAAGATCTTTGGAAGCATCTGTGAAGACAACTGGAGATGAATGTCAGAATGGGCAAGTTTGCTCGTTAACTGAGATGATATATTTTTCAACATCAAAAATGCACACATAATTGTTGCATTCAGAACACTCAAGGATATCACTGTAGAAGGTATAACAGATTGAGCATCTGAACCTTGTTTGGTGTCTATTTCTCTTTGGTGTATGATCACAGACAAGAATATCTTCTTTTTTGACAGATGATTTAACCACATTTTTTAAGTCAATTTTCGAAGATACTTCTGTTTGTTTACTCTTCGTCAGCCGCATTTCTGAGGAGGATAAGACTTTGGTATTTTCAACAGATCTGTGTTTCCTATGTCTTATTGTCTCTAAAGAGCTTACCTTGGAGGTCTGGCATGGCTATTTCCTCACAACTTACCCATCCATCTAAAGACACCCATGTTTAAATTTGAATTTTTAAATTTTTCTGAAATCTTGGGGTTTTGGGGTTTTGGGGTTTTGGGGTTTTGGGG